TTTGTTTGCACGTGTCAACATGCCCGTCCTTAGGCAAGGCAATAGACATTTCGGAAACATTATGACACTTCGAATGTAATCTACTTTGTGAATACGTTCAACATATACACTTGCATATATAGCGGATAATTTTTGGTGGTAGACTTGTAATCAGTGCCAAGTGTGACGGCAAAACTTTTGTCACGGTTGGCCACAGCACTACAAAATGACACCAGCGAGACAGCCGGATTAGGCCTACGAATGTGAGAACGTGTAGAGGTAAGCTGATGGCTGATGGTGTGAGATAAGGCGTCTGCATGTGCGATAACAGACTAGCCAAATGGGCAGTATCGGAAGGGACACAGAGTAGTCTCCACTACTTTCAGATGGAACTAAGCTACGCCGTCACGTTCCAGACAGCTAGGCTATTTGCTACGATGATGGATGCGCCTCACAGGTGGAACTAGAAGTCGATTTTGGGGTTGCAAGCGTCCTCAAGAAAGTGCTTCCTAAGTGGCTAAGCACAACTGGATGTGAACATTCAACAATTCTGCTCAGACAGCTCTTATGACCAGTGTGTCTGCGACTGAGGGGTAACACATGGCGCTCTACTTCACGTTGTCTTTCCCATTCGCTCACCTGATGACCTCTACACTCGCACACTAGTCTCCACTATGCCTCGACTTCTTTCAATTGCTTCGTCTCCTGCTGACTAGGGCTCTGCGAATGCACCAGAGTAGCACAGCATGAAATCGTTGACTGCCTACTTGGATGGTGCTAGCGTGTTCCACTTGATGGTGGTTTAAATGTACCCATCAGACAACACATTCTGTGCGTTCATTTGCCACGACCGCCATCCTAGTAAGAGCTAAGATTCCGATATGTCAAAAACAAATCGTTTGTATTCGGGTCCGATCCTCTGTGTGCGCGAATGCGCCTCCATCATTTGGTCGACACAGTCACGCATACCTGACAGTGACTGATTCGTCGTGGAACTAGAGTGATTAGTGGCGAAATTCGAGTACAGCTAACACAAGACTCGACTGTCAGGAAGGAGTGACAGAGCATCAGGAAGTGTTCACTACGTTGGTGAAAGTGGCCGCGTAGGTGAGAACTACCAGAGCACTGAACAGGAATGCTTTTCTGTGGTTGCACGCAGCCTCAGCAGCATATTGCAATTGCAAACCACATTTGACCGCTAACAAGCGGCCTGCCCATCAACCACCCAACCAATCCAATCGGAAGTGAGACCGCCTTGCCCAAAATCAACTCAGATGAGTAAAGCCATTGACAGGTGAATGAAAACGAAGTGAAATATACAAATGTGCATCTGTCGTTAAAGAATCGCTCAGTATGGATGGTAACTTCGTCGTTAAGTGAGGGCGAATAGTTGTCAAATCCACCCAGTCCTGAGTTACTGAAGCCTGCAATGGAAAAGAAATTGTAAGCTGTGAAAGCGTGTATTTTGAGGTGTGATATTCTGTGCAGGTGAAGCAGTAGGGAATTAACACGGACTTACATGGAAGCTCACTGGAGCACCACTACCATGGCGATGAACACGGCTGCTGCGGTTAAAGATGTGGAAGTAGAAGCTGCGGTCGAGGCAGAAGTTTTTGACCTGGTGATTGGCGATTGCGAAGAGGGCAGCATTGACGTGGAGACGGCAGGGATCTGTTCAGGTCTGTTCAACCTTGACATTACAGGTCCACGTGCAGGTCTGTTCGGCGTTGTGATTACATGGGTCGATGCAACTCCTTCCGTCGTGACAACTACGCCTTCATTTACAATCCAAAACAAGTCATTTCCTTCATATTCCCTTTTAATGCCTATACGTTACCTAACTGTTCACTGTGCATTATGCGGCTTTTATGACGGCCAGAGAGGCTGCATCTCGTTTGGTGTTTGCAGTCAATGTTAGGCGAGTGTTTAGTTGGAAGTAAACTGTGCAACTTTGATGGCACTGCCACAAAGGCGCGATTAAAGGCTTATTGTCAAGCATCCTAGTCAATTTTTATTCACATGCCAACCAATGCTGGAACAAGTAGAATAGACTAACCCTCTTTCGGCCCTGGTGTAGTTTCCCTTAGAAATGCACTTTGGGAACCGATGTATTCTAAGTTCGGTGCAGAGTCTGAGCGACTGTATGCACGAACATAGGCTGAAATGGTTTGGCCTGGCTGCAGCTCCGTGAATTGATAGGAGAGAGTTGTATTGGGACGGACATCTCCATGCCGTTCAGCATCGCGAGTCCATTGGATGTTGTAGCTACTAATGTAACCGTAGGATTTGGCCGGCGGTTCCCATGTCATGCTCACCGTGTAATTGTCGACGGCAATCAGTTTCGCACTTTGGGGAACACTAGCACCTAAACAGCACAGAATGAGCACAGTTGTGATTGTTGATGGGATGGCGATAAGTCGCCACGTGTGTGCCATGTGAAGGAGGGTGGGCGTGGAAATGTGAAGTATTGGGGCGAATGAAGGAAAAGTGTGCACAGTTTGCATATAGGTGGAGTAGAAGTAGTGAAAATGGAAACAGACCTGAAGGCAGTGGAGTAATTTCAAGTGGGTCTGTAAACTCGCTGAAACGATTGGGCTTTACGCGTCCACGTACTTTGACTGCATACGTTGTAAGCGCTTCTACTATGATTGTAGTAAAATCGGGTTCTCCAGCAGTGATGTTGGCTTCCGAGTACCAGTCATATGACGAGTTGATACCGCCATACTTCAAACAGAGCTCATAACCATCGAATCCGCCTCCATCCATCTTGGATTCGAGTATGGATACTGTTATTCCGGGGATGTCTTCGTAGTACTGTACGCTGATTTCGGGCTTTCCCATCCCTGGAACAGAAAAAATGAGGCAGTTAGACAAGCGTGATTACTTGAAACCAAACCATTCGACCTCAGCATGATTAATTCTGGCTTATAACTTTGGTCGACGAAGCGACAAACTCATCCGTGTGAATGCTTTGAATGGGAGATGGTGAAGGAGAATGTTTCATGCATGACGTAGAGCCCTGTCCATCTGCTCTAATTGCACCACCTGCAAATTGCTGATTATAATGGAGTGCTCCTGATGTCCCACGTTGGGACAATTACCAAGGCTGTAGCTAGCACAATAGTGAAACAGAGCAGTTTTCATCCAACTTGCTTTGTTCAGCTCATGTGGCATTAAGGTGGAGTTATGGGAGCGCGAACGCTCGGATTCAAGGAGCTGCTCACTACAGAAGAGGTGCATGTCCGAAGGTAACTTGAAGGCCAAGATGAAGGACATGGAGGGAGAAGAGTGAGAGGATAAATATGGGGGCAGTGCATGAGCCTGCTCAGTTGTGACAAGACAATTTGTTGTGGTGTGATGTGATGTGAGAAGAAATGGGAAGAAGCTGTTGAGTGACAACGACTGATTGTTGGCTAAGTGCATGCTAAGGAGCATTCGCTCTCCCTGTCAGATCAACCTACCAAACACACGCTCTCCATTGCTGAATGGTTCTACACGTGTGCTGATCGGAGTGAAGCATTAGGAGGGAGGTATCTTACCGGTTGCCGGTTGGACTTGTCCATACGTAATGGCGAATGCCAGCAAGACGAGGTAGAGTTGGACCAACATCCTTGACGATGAAGTCAGTTGTATCCACAAGCTACACATGCTGTACTTATGTGGGTGCTGTAGACTGAGGATAGCCTATGAAACGCCTTCTTTGTTGAGCTACAAATCACATTGTGCATTCATGCACACCGTAATGACACCGCGTTTGCTGGGCGCGCTGGTGTTGGCACCTGTAGTTGCAACTAAGACTTCTTCTCCCACGTCGTGGGCGTTTTATTTCTGTGGTTGTTATTCACAGAGCATTGCAGTAGCCGTGCTCATGCCGAGTCGGTGCCTCCCTACTAATTAGTTGATGATTGTGTTAGCGGTAGTCGAAGTGGGCTGATAGCCATCCCAAGGCGTGGTTCATTGTGTAGGCCAACCAGTCGGTGGTAGATGGGCTTGAATATGCTGACGAAATTGCATGTGGCGAGACGCAGATGCAAACTCAGTGTGATTACCCTGTCCATTATAGAGGCAATGAGCGCAGAAGAGCACTGTGATGCATTGTACCATTTGTGGCAAAGCATTCGCCTATCAATTGTGCAGTTGGGAGGTCGATCACATCGAGATCTGCACGTAATACGTGTCATGCTGGTAATATTGTAATAAGTGAAACCACAATTTGTGTGAGTTTACTATAAAATGGGCCACCAATCATTGCTAATCTGCAGCACCTGTATGGCCGAGTGGTCTGGATCCTATCAGTGTCCGCAGGTAGTAATTTAGACAACCTGTTGAGAAGTACTTGAAGTGAGACAATCTTGTCAATCAACGTGTGTGAATCAACGCGCACGCGTGACGTGCGTGCATGCGCCGTGATGTGGCTGATTAGTGGAGACCGGTTGGGTGTGCGCTCGAGTGTGAACTTGAGTTTGAGTCTGTGCCCAAGCCGAGCGTGAGCCAGTAACTTCGTCGGTTTCGTGACGAGTATGCATTAGCGAGTGTTCAATCCTCGGTGTAGAATGACTCCTGACGCACGTAAAGCGCAGCCAACAGGATCGCAGCTAACGAGTGACTGAGCAAGAAAGCGGTTGGTAGGGTATTTCGTGACCATCTTCACGATAATGGAAGGTTCTGGAGACCTCCACATGCAGAAATGTAGGTTGCTGTTTGCACATGTCCATTTGTATGCAGCGAGATTTTTCTGTCGCCCAACCTTACCCATGGCACCGTGCTGGTTCATGACCATTTGCACTCCATCATTACAGGGTGAGATGCAAATTATTTCCATATTCCATTCATTTCATGTCGCACAATCCGACGTGTCAACTGCACTATCGTGTCAAATAACTATCGCTCCCTTTTAGGATATTCTGGTCGAACGCGACGGCAGCAGAGGCTGCTGGAAGGCTGGCAAAATTGGCACGACGAAGTCACATGGGTGTAGAGTGAAGCTAGAGAGCCAATGTGCAGCAGCAGGTTCCATATAGTGACGAGTTGTTGTGTTTCTTGTGCCGCCTTGTGCATGGTTGGCGAAGAGGCGATGACGGTGAACCACTTCACTGGAAATTATGCAGATTCCACAAACACCATTACCAAATAACGGGCATATTCCTGTCTTCGTTCCTATTTTCAGTACAATCTGGTGGATTGTTTTGCATGGATCACACACATTGATCGCGTGTTTTGCACAACAATTTGAGAATTAAAGCAGGGTAAAATAGAAGCGGTCAAAAGTGCACCGCTCCACGCTTACTCACTGAACCGCAGACAAGAGGACCGACTTGAGTGGGCGTGAATGCAACAACTGCGTGATGGCTCTCTGCCAACACTGCCTTCTTTTCGCCTTCTCTATGCGCCAGTCATCTGCTTCAGCACATATTGTGTTTATCGCGATGTGATTGCAGTGGCTGGTAACAAGGCCACCTCAACTGCCTTTCCACAGATAGACTTGGAAAGG